CAAGGACCTGCTCAGACCCGACCCGCGACTGAAGGTGAACCCGGCGGGGGCGCGCCGAAGTGAGTGGCGTTAAGGTGAACGGGGCCGGGGCGGGCGGGGGCGCGGCGTCCCGGGCCGTGAACCGGGTGGGGCGGCCTGTCTGCCCAGGACGCGGGGAGCAGGAGGTGACCCAGGGCCCCATGGGCCTAAGATGTCAGGGCCGGGTCATGGTGCGCTGTCAACTACCGAGACATGATGATGGGGTGTCCTCGGGCCCTGTCAGTCCCCAGACATAGGCGGCATGGTCCCCTTCAACCTGCCAGCCCTAAATATGGGGTCACGGTGCTCACAGCCTGGTCAGTGCCCTGAACGTGAGTTTCGGGGTTCCCTCCGCCCTCATCCACCCCCAGACGCAGGCCTGTGGGCTCTGGACACGCCCCCTCCCAGCCCACGGGTATGTCCCCTGGACAGACGCCCAGGCGCCCCTCGTTGTCCCCTGCACCCCACCCTGTGGGCCAGGGGCCTCCCCGAACTGCCATCCAGCCTCCGTCTACTGCACCAGGCCAGCCGCCGCCCCCAGCCCTGGCTGAGCTCCGTGCCGCCCTGTCACTGCCCAGGTGGCCGCTCCTCTTCCGTCCTGAGTCCACCTCCAGGAACCCTCAGCCCATCTGGAGCAGCCCCCACCCTGAGCTCAGCCCTGGGGGCCAGACACCTTCCTTCTCCCAGAAGCAGAGCCTCAGGTTCCAGAGACCCTGCCTCCTTGGCCCCTCCCTCCGGACCCTGAGGGGACCCCCACTCACAGCCCTCCCCTGAGGGACGGGCTCCTGGGCTGGGCCCCTGGACTGCCAGCTCGCCACAGCCCTTCTCCCGCCAGGCAGGTGGCGCCCTCAGGCTGGCCCTGAAGGTGTGCAGGAGGGGCTGAGTGCAGAGCCCCCGGGTGCCCGCCGCCCCCTGGAGTTCAGAGGTGACCCTTCTTACCTGAGGTCACCGTGGCTGCACTGGTGTCGTCACCTCCAGCCCCTGGCCCTCAGGCAGGCCAGGGTGATGGGGTTCTGGTTGGGAGGGCTGCGCCCAGAGCACTTGGCAAGTGCGGTTTAGCTCTTCTCTCTGGGTGTGAGTACTGGGCAGCCCATGTGTGGTTTTAGGCGTCAGTTCAGCGAACAGTTGGGGCACCCGTGCTGTGGGCCAGACCCTGTGAACAGACAGCAGCCTGCCCCGGCCCCAAGCTGGCGGGAGGGGCACTGCGTTCCTGAAGAGAGTGTATGGAGGGCCCACGCTTGGGAGGACGGGCGGGGGGTGGGGGGGGGGGCAGTCTGGGAGGTAGTTTGAATCGGTGTCCCTGGGCCTTCCTGCTGCACCCACACAGTCCCGGGTCCCTCCACCCCTTGCCTCTCCCTCCTACTTGGTCTTCAAGTCCCGTTCAGATGTCCTTCCTGCTCCCAGGGCTGCACCTGTCCCTGTAGAAGTTGTCCCGCCTCGGGCTCTGCTGCCAAGCTCAGGGCCCTGCCCTTGTGCCTGGGGGTCACCTCCCCCCCTGACCGATGGCAGGCCCCCAGGGTCAGGGTTGTCCACTTCTCTCTGTGCTCCCCAGGCCTCAGCAGAGTTGCTGCTGAGTATGGGAGGGTGGCCAGCCTAGCACAGTGGCTTCCAGCTGCTGGCTTTAGATGATTGTTGTTTTCTAGGAATGGAGAGAATTCCGAGGTTCTCTTCCCAGAATCTGTGTTGTGACTGTGGTGGTTTGAGCCAGGCTCTAGCTCAGTGATGGCGAACCTTTTGAGCTCAGCGTGTCAGCATTTTGAAAAACCCTAACTTAACTCTGGTGCCGTGTCACATAGAGAAATTTTTTGATATTTGCAACCACAGTAAAACAAAGACTTATATTTTTGATATTTATTTTATATATTTAAATGCCATTTAACAAAGAAAAATCAACCAAAACAATGAGTTCGCGTGTCACCTCTGACACGCGTGTCATAGGTTCGCCATCACTGCTGTAGGAGCAGACCTGGTGGAATCCTAGCTCCTCCATTCAGTGGCTCTGTGACCTTGAGCAGGTGGCATGGCTTCTCTGGGCCTCAGTTTGCTCCCCTATGAAATGGATTTGCGTTAAGCACTACGTGCCTGAGAGGCTGTTGTGAGGTCAGATGAGTGTCCAGGGCTCAACGTCCAGAGCTCAGCGAGGATGGCCGTGGTGGCGGACAGGCGAGCAGAGACCCTGGTTACAGCCAGGCTGCAGAGCGCTCGGCTCAGTCCAGTCCTCAGTGAGGCTCAGTCCGGGCACTCGGGGCTCAGTCTGGAGCAGCTTTTCCTGCTCAGTCAGTGAGTGAGCCATCAGGACCCTAGTTTTTAGTCCCAGGACTTCTAGCACAGTGTTTGTTTTCATTTCAGCACGTAATACGTATGCACGTGCAAGCCAGGCCAGAGCAGGCTCCCCGCCCCGTCACAGCATGGTGCTCCTCTCCTCTCCTGCCCGCCTTTCCCACGGGAGTGGGGCAGCCCCCCACTGGACAGCTTGCAGTATCCCAGGGTTTCCTCTGCCCTCTAAGAGATCACAAGTCAGCAGGGTGAGGGCAGGGCCTTGCTCCCTCCAGGGGCCCCAGGGGAGGTTCCGAATCATTGGCACTGGCACCTGTGAGGTGCCCGATATAGAAGGGTAGTCACTTCAGTGGGGGTGAGGGGGTCAGTGTTCTCAGATGGTCTGTAGCCCCTTCCCAGAACCCCTCACTCAGCCTTGGTGGTCTTCAGACCTCAGACAGGAGCCCTTCCTCCGCTGGGCTTTCTTCATTTACGAAGTGCAGGAAGTCATGGGCACTGCAAACGCTAATGAGCAGTGGTTTCTCTCCTGGCTGTGAGCGCGCTGCATTTAGAGAAGGAGCCCTGAGAGCCGATGCAGGAGTCGCCTGGAGTCCAGCTCCCCATGGGCGGGCGGCAGGGCAAGATCCATGTGCGGGAGCGGGAAAGCTCCACCTTCCCAGCTCTGTCCCTCAGGCTCCCCACCTGTAAACTGAGGGTAATAATACCACCCACCTGGTATTATTATTCCCTCCCTTGTGTTTCAAGGAAGGTAGAAGAAAGTCACCGACAAAGGTCTGTGACACCAACTGGGAACAGATTTTCAGACATGGATGGCGCCATCCCTGTAGTAACCAGGGTCAACGGGAGAGCGAGCTGGGCCAGAGGCCAGGCGGCTGGGGAGTGTGGGTGCTGCTCGTGCTGCAGGGCATCTGCCCAGCACCTCACAGGGACTGCTGGCCGGGCTCTACACATGAGGTCCCAGGTGTGCGGGAGCCATTGGGCACCACCTGGCAAACTACCGGAGGAAATGAGCCTGAGAAAGTCCCGCTGCACTCCTCCCTCAGTGCCCCCGCCCCCGCCCCGCCCCGCCCACCATCCTGGCTGGATCCATCCTGCATGGTCCTGGTCTGTATTCTGAGCCCTGTGCATCTTCTTTACAGAAGGCGAGTTGCCTCCCAGCGCTGCTCCCTCGAGTTCCTGGAAGACACCGTGGGATGTCCCTCGGTTCAAAGGTAAAGATCCCGCCTGCTGCCTGAGAGCCCTAAGGCCCTGCATACTCTGCCACCACTTGCCTGGGGGCCAGAGAGGGTCCTGGAGGGATGAGTGACTTGTTTCTCACCTGCAGAACCAAGCACATACCCGGATCCCCCAGACACAAGGGCCTGAAGAAGACTCACTTCATCAAGAACATGCGACAGTATGACACCAAGAACAGCAGGTACCGGCCATTGTGGGGCTGCCTACCGTGTCCTCCATCAAACCTTGGGGGCCGGCTCCTGCCCTGGAGCCACAGGGAGAGAGGTGCTCGGCATCCCAGCCATACATGTCCCTTCCCAAGTGTACTGGCCTCCCTCCAAATTAGCTGAGCTCCAAGTCCATGGCTAGCCCACTGCCTCTCCCTCCCCAGAACCCTGGGGACACCAGGCTTAGTGGAGGTGCTGAATGAAGGGACATTGGAGCAGGTGACATGATGGGACGCATCCAGGACAGAGGGCTTGGTGTCATCCAGGAAGCATTGGGGGCGTGGGGCGGTGGACTAAAACCTAAACATGGCTGCCCCAAATCACTACCGTGGCAGCAGGTGCACCTTCGGAGGCCTGGTGCCTGCAGATGCTAGGTGAGGGCCACTCCTGTCGCCTGTCCCTCATGCACCACCCTGCCAGCCCTGAGGCATCTGAGCTCATCACCCTGACCCAAAGGGTCCCCACACCGTTCCCCCTCCCATAGGAGGTCACGCTACAGGCATCCACCCTTCCCATTAGTGGCCATAGGTTGGACAGTCCTGGGTCCCTCAGCATGAGGGGCTGGGCCTAGTCCTGAGGAGCAGGCACTAAGCAGGCCTGAGAGCCAGGTGGGCCTCAGTGGGTACTGAGTGCCCAGTCATCCAGCCAGAAAAGGGGGGAGCCTCACTGTTGTCCTCCTGCTAGACTGGGGCTTGGCCGGGTAGAGCCATCCCAGAGGGGGAAAGGCTGTCCTTCCTGCTCTGTGCTCCATGCAGGGGCACCTCAAGGGTCGCTTTGGCTCGGGACATTGAACGGATGCTTTTTGACACTATTAGTCCCCCACCTTTCCAGGGTGGCTGAGGAGGGGCTCCCTGAACCAAACGGCCCTCTGGGCACACACTTCTTCCCGTGTTTCATCCAAAGTCTGACCTTTCAAACTAGGGTCCTGACCTCTGGCCTCCACCCTGCCAGGGGCCAGGTGAGACCCTTCCTGTGCAGCATGCTACGTGTGGGGGACCAGTGAGAGCTGGCATGGACAGACCCATTGACCCTGGCCGCTGGGCCTCTTGGCCTGAGAGTCCCCTGGACAACTGGGGTGGTTCCTGTCACCGGAGTCTAGGCAGGAAGGCATTCTCCCCTCCCCAGGAAACACCTGCCACCTGTTCTGACCCAGCTCTTCCCACAGGATCGTGCTGATCTGCGCCAAGCGGTCCCTGTGTGCGGCCTTCTCGGTCCTGCCCTATGGAGAAGGCCTGCGGGTCAGGTGAGTGGCCCCGGAGGCACAGGCTGGGCTGGACCAGGCTCTTGGCAGCCTCACAAGGTGGTCAGCAGATCAGCTTCCACTGAATCTTCTCAGAAGCTCTGCCCCTCTCCTGGTTCTCCGGGAGGGGTGTGTGCGCACCTTACTTCAGTGTGAGCTGCCTCAATGTCAGTGCCGAGACATGTCTCCTCGTGGGGGCACTGCATGCATCCTTGTGACCAGTCCAGGCAACTGTGTCCTGCGTGTAACCCAGGAAGAAGGAGATGGCCGTCAGGGTGGAGAAGCCTCCTGCCCAGTGTGACTGCAGGGTGGGGGACACACCCCTAAAGACCGGGCGTGGCCTAAGCTGCGGCACGGCACGGCGCTGTGGGGCCATATTGTTGCCAACCGGTGTTTTAACAGGAAGTGGCTGGTTCTAGGGAAGGAGAGACTAGACAGTTCTTAGGACAAGCATCCTTCACTGTGTACCCAGTGAATCTAGTGCCGCTGTTCTTCCAATGAGAACTCCTGCCCGCACGTCTGCGAGGTGAGGTTCTGCTGCCCCACCCGCTCGGGCAGAGGGACCCAGCCTCTCTCCGGTGCCCTGTGTTGCAGTGACCTGAGGGTGGACAGCCAGAAGCAGAGACATCCGTCCGGTGGCGTGTCTGTTTCTTCCGAGATGGTCTTTGAGCTGGAAGGTGTGGAGCTGGGAGCAGATGGAAAGGCAAGAACTGGTGCTGTGCACACAGGCCGGCGGGCGCAGATCTCATGTTATGGAGGAAATGAGCACATGAAGTTGTGCTTCCCTTTGATCTTCTAAAATGCAATGGGCAGTGGGAGCAAGCCACAGCCCTGTAAGAATGGGCCTCGCCCTCAGCACTGGTGGTTGGAGGTCAAGGGCATCAGAGGCAGGGAGAAGGTTCCTGAGCTACAGATCCAGATAAGAGCTGGTGAGGGTGACGTTCTGGAATGTTCTTGTTACTGAGAACACTAACATCAGGCCTGTGCTGGGCCACAGAAGGGAGTGGGGGTGGCGGGGGGTGGGGGGGCTTCCTGCAGCAGCAAAGAGGAGCCGGACTGACCTGGCCGTGCTTGTCTTTCCAGGTCGTATCTTACGCCAAGTTCCTGTACCCTACCAACGCCCTGGTCGCACAAAAGACAGACAGCCACGGCCCGCCACCCCAGCCCCGGACCAGCCTCCCCCGGGCTATGCCAGCATCAAGATACAAACCTGCTGCTGCCAAGTCAGCGCCGATCAGCACGGAGCTAGGTACCCTAACCAGGCGCACGGGGGCAGGACAGGCGGCTACGCCAGCCAGGCCAGTGACCCCCAGGGGCAGCAGAGCAGTGAGTCACATTTGAGCCCACAGCCCTCAGTCTAGACAGAGGCGGGCTTGGGGCGTGGGGTTGGGGTACTGCCTTTCAGAATGGAAGGCGGGACTCGCGGTGGAGCAGACCCAGCCAGGCAGTGAAGAGAAGTTGTGTCCCCAGATGGCTCTGGGGCAGAGGGCGGGTGGTCCATCCTCATCAGGACGTCCTTCCCTCCCACCCATGCCTAGACCCCTCCCAGACCCCAGGAGCATTGCTTCCCGTTCCTGGAGAACAGCTGCAGCCCCAGCTGCTCCTGGGCGCTACACAGGTTCTGCTGAGACTTGGGTTGATGGGAACTGGACACCAGAGCTCGGGGCTCGTGGTGGGTCAGGGCTGCCTTCTGCCTGCAGGGAGTGATGCAGGGGATCCCCTGGAGTATAACCCCAACCTGCTGGATGACCCGCAGTGGCCCTGTGGCAAGCACAAGCGAGTCCTCATCTTTGCATCTTACATGGTACGGCGAGCACCAAGCAGCACTGCCCCTCAGGCGCTGGGGGGTGGGCTGTGAGCTAGCGGCCCCAGCACTGGGGAGCCCAGCACCACCAGGGCAAGGCTGACGTGCCCTCACCCCCAGGACACCAGCAGCACCGCGGGGAGGGGGTGTGCAGCAGGCCAGAGAGCAGTGCTGGCCCCACCACCCTGGGGTTCAGCCCACGTGCTCCACAACCTGGATCCCTGCTGTGCATTCAGCTCCACTGCCCTCTGTCCAGAGGCGTGTCAAGGCTCAGTGCATTCACGTTTGCAGGCCTGACCGCGTGAAATTGCCTCAGTGGCCCGGCCCCACCCTGCTGCCCTCTGTGTTTCAGACCACGGTGATTGAATACGTGAAGCCCTCCGACCTCAAGAAGGACATGAATGAGACATTCCGAGAGAAGTTTCCACACGTCAGACTAACACTGAGCAAAATTAGGAGGTAGGGAGGGCCAAGGACATCCCCAAAACCTACTTCATTTTTTTTTAATGTTTTTATTGAATTTTTTAGAGAGGAAGGGAGAGAGAGAGAAACATCAATGAGAGAGAAACATCGATTGGCTGCCTCCTGCACACCTCACACTGGAAATCAAGCCCGCAACTCTGGCATGTGCCCTGACTGGAAATCAAACCAGTGACCTCTTGGTTCCTGGGTGAACAATCAACCACTGAGCCACACCAACCACGTGGCCCAAAACCCACTTCTAATGTGTGTCATCCTATGAGGTCCTGTAGGCCTATCTTCCCATTTCCCGTTGATTCCTGAGCCTGAAGATCCAGATGCCCCCTCCCACCCTCTGACCAGGCCAGTAACACACACACGCACACATGCACATGCATACACATGCACGCCTCTGCCAGTCAGGCTGTCTGTTTGCCTCTTGCAGCTGCCCCCACCCACTGAGCCCTCCTCACTGGTGCCCACGACACCCCATGAGGCAGGCACCGCCATTGTCTCTATTCAGTAGAGGAACTTGCAGGCCAAGGCAGCTTGCCTATAGCCTCACAGTGAGCAAGTGCTGGAGCTGCTGGCCGAGGCAGGGCTCCTGGTCACTGCCCCTTCTGGGGTCCTGCGCTGCCAAATCCTACTACGAACATCCCACCCCAGCAGCTCCAGGGCTCCTAGGGTCCTCTTGCTACCACAGGAGAGCAGGGACTTTGTCCTCTGTGGCAGCCCCTAGAGGACAGTGTGGGACACCTGGTACAGTGCGGGGAGGGGGGAGGGGGGGGCGGCGTAGGACTCAGCCAAGGGGCAAGTGGGGCCCAAGACCAGCACACTGCTTACCCACCAAGCTGTGGGCCCTGGTGCTGGGCTGCACCCGCCTGGAAGGAACAGAGCTGTTCTAATGGCCCTGTGTCATGGAGGGGGTGGTGTTCCTCCCCCCCAAGAGCACCTGATTTCCCTATAAACCTGCAGTTTAAAACGTGAGATGCGGAACCTATCTGAGGAGTGCAGCCTGGAGCCTGTGACTGTGTCCATGGCCTACGTGTACTTCGAGAAGCTTGTCCTGCAAGGCAAGCTCAACAAGCAAAACCGCAAGCTGTGCGCAGGCGCCTGTGTGCTGCTTGCTGCCAAGATCAGCAGTGACCTCCGCAAGAACGAAGTAAAGCAGCTCATAGACGTGAGTGCACTCAACCCTTCCCTGGCCCCCTGGCCCCCCAGCCCCTCCCCAGCCCCCACTCCATCCCAAGCCAGTGCTGCCCCACCCAGGCCTCACCCCAGCCAGCACTTAGAAGGCTGGGCACTACCCCTGGAGAGGGAGGTCATTGCCCACTAACCTGGAGCGGGGCCAGCCACCACTCCCAAACCTGCTGGCTTAGGAACCAGAGCAAGGGACCTCGGCTTAACCCTTCTCTCTTCCTCAATGCAGAAGTTAGAAGAAAGGTTCCGATTCAACAGACGGGATCTGATTGGGTTTGAGTTCACAGTGCTTGTGGCCTTGGAACTTGCTCTCTATCTTCCCGAGAACCAGGTGTTACCTCACTACAGACGCCTCACGCAGCAGTTCTAGTCTGCTGCCCACGCCCGTCGGCACGGTCTGTGGCCCCAGGAGCTGTTCCCAGGCAGTGAAGTGCACCCTCGGCCCCCGTGGCCTCACCCTCCCGGCTGGGACACACGGACCCTGCCTTCACACTTTCTTCCTTGGGGGCCATGCTTTCATTCCAAAGCACCACATCACCATGGTATTTTGAGGAATATTCCTGCCTTCTCATGTGGACAGAATGTGGGATTTGTCATTTTCCTTTTTTCACGTGCCTGAGACTGGCCTGGCACCAGGACCTGTAATTTATGCCTTGGATCCTGACGTCATGGCATCTTTCTCCTTTGCATTGCCTTGCCTTCCACATACCATCGTAGCCACTGAATGGCATCACAGTGGTGACTGTTTCCAGATGCTGCTGAGCACACTCAAGTCCCTGAAGCTAATGAAGTAAAGTATTAATCTTGACTTTCCAATTTCTGGATGTGGAAAGCACTGGAACACACCCTGCCCAGCCCACTGTCCAGTCCCCTCCCCACATCCACAAGCAAAGAGCAGACTCCTGGTTTTGATGAGTTTTATTCTTGGACCTGTTCTTCCAAGCATCATGTCACTGTGAAGTCCTCGTACCTGAGTGTTACGCAGGCCAGAGGCCTCTGCAAACACAAGCTGCCCCTTCACCTCATCCAGAAAACCCACTGGCCTGCGACACTGGGATCTTCAGATGATTGCATTGCTGGAGTGTGGCTTTTGATCTTATTAAGCAATATTATGACAGAACAGCCTATTGTCATTTGGGATTCTGTTCTGTAGGTGTTTCTCATAGGGGAACACAAACTAGTTAAATGTGTAAAGCTGTGAGTTGAAACCACACTTGCTCAAGCTGGGAGGAGACTGACTACTTCACAGCCCACAGCACAGCCTCCCCAAGAGGTCGTCGGCTCAATGCCTTTCTCCCAAGGCTGTCCAGGACAACTGGCCGGTGCGGTCACCCTCAGACCCCAGCTGCCAGTGATCCTCACTCCTACAAAGGCCCATGCTCTGCTTTTCCAGGTTTGTTGTCCTTTGCACGAACTCTGTTGTCCAGTTCTCCAGCTCGCTGCCCCACCAAAAACACGTTAAGGACTGGTGAGTTAGCTGGCCTGAAAGATGGCCATGATCAAGCTGCTCCTATTGTGCTCCAGACCTGTGACTGGAGGGGCCCTGGGTCAGCCCCCATCTTGTACTCTCTCCACGTGGGCTGGTGCTTTTGCAGAACAGCCAGTTCTGCTCATCACAGCACCCAACCACCAGCAACTCAGCCCAGACCCCAGCAGAGGTGCAGGCCAACCACCCATCCACTTGCTGCCTGCGGGTCTGTTCCTTCTGCCACTCAAAGGAAGACTGCGGGGTGGAGGACCACGCCTGTGTCCATGGTCCAAACTTACTGCAGTGTGCCTCCCTCTCCAAGATGGCTTCCTAAACCCAACATGCAACCAAGTTAGATCGGAGGGTGTAAGGTGCTAGGCCCCAGCAACTTCTGGAAAGCAACCTGTCCTGCCACCATATATCTCAAGAACACTTGTGTTACAAGCACTGTAAGGGACTCTCAAAACGTCCCGGTTTACAGCTTAGCCTTGAAGGACCTGTCTCTTCAGGAATTTCTAAACGGACTAAAGTTAGACCAGCTGAGAAATATGGTAATTTAAGTTTGCATTTATGTAGTAAGATTTAGTCATTTGCCCATCTCATCTGTAACCTTCCCAGCTGTGTCCTTTAGTAATGCTGGAGCTGCCACTGTGTGGTACTCAAGAATCCCTGCAGAAAAGCCAGTATTTAAGCCAAACCTCAGCCTGAATCCCTGTCCTCTAGAACAAGGCCCAACTGACCTCTGAGTTGGTCCACAGCCCAGTGCCACTCGCTCAGAACCCAGTAGCAGTTGTGGATTTTAAATGTGCGTTAAGCAACTATCTTACCTCAATGCCAAGTTGTGTCACAAGTGTTTGTATTTGTGCTTTAAAGTAAAATGTGGTTTTGCAGCATATTTTATAAGTCACCTCCTTTCAGTGAGCTGACCCCCTCCTCACCCATTCACAGCAGAATGTCAGCTCTAACCCTCCAGAGCCCAGCACAGAATGAACCAACATGGGGGGGTGTTTCCACTATTTATTTATGACAAATTTCACATCTGTGATGCCTTCAGTCAGAAGTTCCTAAACAAAAGGAAAAACAACATTAAAGCCTCGTCTCCGGAAAAGTCGCAGCCCGTCCCCAAACTCGACTTTGAGACGGCTTACTTTGAGACGATGCCATCGGCCTTGGCCAGTCGGAGAATGGAGTCATCTGACTCACCCTGAGAAAAAGCACGTTGGAACTATGAGCTGGCAGGAGGTCCACCAGGGACCACCCAGCCCTAGTGGCAGGCTCTCTCCCAGTCTCACTACTCAGACCTCACTGGACAGGGAAAGGCCTTTGGAGATGGAGTGTGATAAGTGGGAGGTTCCAAGGTAAAAGGGTGGTCCTGCTTACAGCCTTTGAGCATCCTTTCTACCCTTCACCCCACCACCCCCAGGAATAGGCAGACAACCAGTGCAACCCAGCCCCATAGGCTCAAACCTATTCTGCAACAAATGGACTCAGTCAGGCCTGAGAGATCGTCTAAGACACCATTCTCCATTACCGCCCCACGCCCCCACCCCACCCCCAGAAGCCCACAGATGAGCCACCTCCAGGAGACTCACCATCCTACGGATAGCCCCGCAGATAGCATAGGTTTTAAACTGGCCGTTGAACCTGCCTGTCACCTTGTCAACCTGTTGATGGAGAATGAGGATCATCAGACGGGCACTAGAGCTCCTTTAGCTCTAAATCTGGGGTCTGGGGATCATCAACCCCGGGGCCAGCCCAGACCTCGCTCTAGTCTGGGATGGACCTCGTCCAAGCCCTAGCGCCCCAGGCTCACCTCGGCCACGTTCATCTGGATGGACGCGTGGTCCTTCGCGCCGATGATGCGGTTGCTGGCGGAGCTGCGGGGAGAGCGTAGTGAGCGGAGGGGTGGGAAGTCACGAGTGTTTGTATTTGCGTTTTAAAGTAAAATTAAATGCTGCGGCGCTCACCATTTCCGCGGTACGTACAGGTCCACGAACTCGCCGGCGTCGTTCTGCATGTCGAGTGCACCTACGAAACCCCGCGTGTGAGAACAAGCTGGGTCCGCGCGCCCGGACCCGGGCCCCGCGCCTTGGCCTCACCCCGACCCCCGGTCCCCGCGCCGTGGCCTCACCTCAAACCCCGCGCACCCGGACCCCAACTCCGCGCCATGGCCTCACGCCGACCCCGCGCACCCGGACCCCAACCCCGCGCCATGGCCTCACGCCGACCCCCGCGCACCCGGACCCCAACCCCGCGCCATGGCCTCACGCCGACCCCCGCGCACCCGGACCCCAACCCCGCGCCATGGCCTCACGCCGACCCCGCTCGGAATCCCGCGGAGCCGGCACTGGGCCACGCGGCCTACCTGCTGCCACCACCACGAGCGCGTCGGCAGAAAGAGCGCGCTACGTCCCCCGGCAGCACTACGACGGGCGGGGTGGGGCGGGGCCTCGGCGAGTGCTTCCGGGTCCCAGCGCGCCCGCGAGTCTGCGCAGAGCCTGGCCGCTCCCCCCCCCCTCACTGGCGCACTTCCGGTTCCGGCGGGAGCAGGCGGGGGCGGAGGCTGGCAGCTCGGGCGGCGAATGGGTGGCCGGGGCCGCGGGCTCTGCGGTGCCGGCGGACCGAGGTGTCGCCACCCCTGGCGGGCCGGAGACCCCCGCGTCGGTGAAGGCGGCGCGCGGTGCTAACGGGCGGCCCGGGGTGTTCATCGGCTGCCGGAACGCAGACCCGGTCCTGGGAACGGACCCTGCGGAAGCAGCCGAGTGAGAACACTCGGGTGATGAGACAGACGCGGGGCGGGGCGGGGGCGCCGTCCTGGGACCTAGAGGCCAACTCCTCGGAGTACGAGGCCCGAGCGGCAGGCGCTGGGCCACGCCTGGTGTCAGAACCAGGTCAAGCCCACAGCCCTTCGCTGCACCCTCCGACCGCTCCCAGGCCCGCCGGCCCGCTCCGGCCCTCCAGAGTCCTGGTGCCAAGACCCATCAATAAAGAAAATGGGAAAACCCCAGACTGCACAGCTAGAGCCCCTGTGATCAGTGTGCAGGGCAGCCTGGATAAAAACGGGCTTCGGGTGAAACAGAAGACCCCTTCAGGACGGGCTTGAGACCATGTACATCCTACCCCCTCCCCCCCCCCCCGAAATTTAAACATGCAAACAAATTCATAAACGGGTTATACCTAGTTAATAACTCTATGCTGACTCCTTGTTTTCTCTTCTTCGGTAAGTCAGTCCCTGTTCTATTGCCTATTTGTGGTCTTCCTCCGAATATATTTATTCTGGGGGTTATGCCTAATAATCGTGATGAAGCGGGCCAAAGAGACG